GAGGGAGGAGGAAGATGTTGTCAACTGAGATTTCAAATGATGTCTTGTTTGACATTTTAAAAGTGGGCTGAACTGTAGAGCAAAACATATAGGCATTATGTGATAAAGATGTTCTTTGTGTACAAATTGAGTGTAGATCCAAAAAAAAAACCTGGACGGAAAGGTAACAGAAAAGCAAAGGTCAAAGGGGCTCAGAAATGAAGGATCCTCTTCACCATGTCTTTATGTGTCATGCCTCCAGATTTGGTGGCGTGGGTGGAAAGGGGAAACTTGAGTGTCTACTCTGACTAGGCCTGATGCTGGGTAATATGCTTGTCTCACACACACACACACCCATGTCCCCCATTCTACATATGGGGACAGGGAGTCACAGAAGGTAAGTACTTTGCCAGAAGGGAAACCCACTCCCGTACTCTTGCCTGGCAAAATCTCATGGACAGAGGTGCTGGGTGGACCGCAGTCCGTGGAGCCACAGAGAGTTGAAGATGACTGAGTGACTCACACACAACTATAAACGGGCAGCAGTGCTACAATTCAGACTCAGCCTTTTCTTATTCCAAATCCTGTGTTCTCAGGAATAGATGTGATCTGTTTGTTTTTCTTGGCTGTCTCTCCCATTTCCCCCAGTAATTAAGATTATAATGAGGGCACTTTGTAAGTACAGTTGATCCTTGAATGACACAGGTTTGAACTGCACTGACCCTCAACATGCAGATTTTTTCCACAAATACGTATCTCAGTACTACACGATCTGAGCTGGTTGAATCTGCAGGTGTGGAACCACACGCACCAGTGGACCTGTCTTGGTGACTAGTGTATAGACTGCTTGGTTGAATTCAGGTGATGAGTTGCACGTGGGGCAGGCTATGTACTCGGCATGTGTATTGAGCTGGAATTTTATCTAAGCTGGATTGGAGGGGAAAGCTTCCCCACTGCCGGCGTGACAAATGATTGCTGTGGGTACAGTAGTTTCCATAGGCCATAAAGTCCCATGTGATGGGAGAGACCAGGGTCCAGAAAGCATCACAGAGATGCTCAGGCCACTTCTAAGAGAAGAGAGCTTGCAGTGTCCTAACTCTCCGCTCACCGACCTCCAGAGGGTTAGGAGAAGCAGGAGCAAAAGGGGCAGGAGCCAGAGAGGAGAGGAGTCCAGGAACAAAAGCCAGAGTCAGGCTGAATGAAACTGGAATGAGTTGTGAACGTGGCAGGGCAGTGGGCCCCGGCGTCTTGATTTCTGCCCGCGCAGCACTGGATGGGTCGCTCGGGCTAGAGACGGAGGGTCCATCTGTACTCGAGCTCCTGGGAAGTTAGAGCCGAGAAGCATTGTTGGGGCACGTCTCCAGGACACTCCCTGCCAGAATGAAAACCAGCTGAGGAAGGTGAAGGCTCCTGCTCAAGGGGACACACCATTCAGACAAACACACATACAAGCCAGCAATTCCAGTTCTTTTTTTTTTAATTGAAGGATAATTGCTGTCCAGAATTTTGTTTTCTGTCACACCTCAACATGAATCAGCCATGGGTATTCATATATCCCCTCCCTTTCGAACCTCCCTCCCGTCTCCATCCCTGCTGTTTACTGAGCACTTCTTAGGTGCCAGGCACTGGGCACAGTCAAGCATGTTGCTTTCTCCAACATCAGCTCTCCCCTCCTTGAGGCCTGGCTTTTATTACTGTATTATTTTTTATGTGACTTCATCGATGACAAATTTATGGAGTTTTATGGTAGAGAAGATACCTGCAAGTCTTTGAGAGCTTTGTTTGGTCAAAAAACAGCTGGGATTTAAAGCAGGAAATGGACACAGGTTACCGAAAAGTATTTTCCCCCTCACTACCCAGGATTTAGAATTGCTTCGGGATTACATAATTGTGTCTTTAACGAACATATAATCAAAGAATTAGGAATAACGCAAAATGCGGAGCTTTGGGGAGAGGAGCTAGAGGAAGTGACCGGGTCCCCATGGGAGCCCTGTTTGCTTCTCTCTTTTGCCTCTGCATGAAATTTGACCTGCCTAAGGGTGAAGGGAAGACGGTGCAGGGATGCCACATTTCAAAGAGAAAGTTTGCTGGCCACTTGCTCCCAAGGACCACTCAGAGAACAGCCTGTATTCAGTAGATGGAGAGCCCTCAGCGCCCTAATCTACATCGTCAGCTCATTTTGGCCATAACCACCTGCACTCCTTGGACAGGGGTTGCAGGAACTAATTGACACCAAATGCCTTCCAATGAGAGGCCAAATGGTTGGTATTTCAGTGTCTTACTTACACTTCCTATCATCCTTGCAGGGTGAGCGTTTCCATTCTCATTTCAGAGAATGGAAAACCAAAGTTGAGAGCATTTAATCCCTCTATAGAACAAGTTTATTAGAGTTTCCATTTGTTATATTTTCTTCCAGAGCTTCTGGGATCCTGAAGGCTCTGGGTGGGCTTCCAGAGCCTCCTGGGTTCCTCCCCAAATATGCCACAGTCCTTTCAGAAAAGAGGAGACACCAGAACAACTATACCTCCAATTCAGGGCCTAAATGCAGGAGCTCGGCCACATGCAGTCACTGAGACCTTGTTTCCTGTCAGCACGAGGGGAACATGGCTTAAGCTTTTAGAGGCTCAGTTCCCTCATCTGTAGTGGGGACACCGATTGCCACCTGCTTGTGCTGTGATAACCCAAGACATTACCAGTGTCAACTACCCAGCCCCACACAGAGTCATAGCAGGGATAAAGCCTAACTGTCCTGCCCACTGATGGAAGCCAGGTGGTCATCTTCTTCACCTCTGCTGGAAGGGTCGGTGTTGGCTGAGAAAACACAATTGCTATTGCTGCCTTTTCTTCTTCATTTTCAGTGAAACTAATTTGGTTTTACCAAGCAAGGAGACAGGTTTCAAAAGCCTGGGTCGAGCTTGTAATCAGAGAGCTTGGTAACAATACAATCCTAATCAACCTGTGATTTCACGTCCCCACACACTCTGCCTCGGCCTTTGATCTGTGGTCCCGAGGAGTGGAATTCAGTGAGTCATATTTGCTGTGTGGATGGCAGAGGACCGGAGCTCAGGTGTTTTACCCTGAGGTGATTAGGAGGGAAAAAAGGAGTTGTGTTTGTGCAAACCCAGAGACACATCAAAAGGCCCTGGGCAGAGGCCGGCGCAGCAAGGCAACACAGGTGAAACTCACAGGGTGTAATTCATCACAGTCTTTGATCCTCAAGGTTTGTGAGTCACAGAGTCTCCCTGGGACAGTCTGCAAGCTCAGTGGGGTCTGGGCAGGAAGGAGAAAAACTCCAAGTGGAAAAAAAAGAGCGTGTGTTTTTTTTTGTTTTTTTTTTTAGCAGGCGGCTGAGAGGGTAATTTTCTAGAGACGTGATTTTTGTTTGGTTGTCTCTGAGCAGCTGTGTTGTAGCTGGATCCGGGATTTCTGCAGCATGGGACAGTTTGGGGTGTGTCTTATATACCTGCGGCTCCTCAACCATAAGACTGCATTGAGCACCTACTGTATACAAGGAGTTAGGCTAAGTATCCTTAGAGATGGGGCTTTCGTATTAATTTTTAAATCCATGGCTCTCTATGTGGCCTTTTACGGAACTGCATTTAATTGGAGCGTGCACAGGCTCTGAGACAAGAGTAACTTGGGTACAAATTCTGATCCCCCTGCATTCCGTTTGTGTGACTTTGGGAGACGTAGTTGCCCTCTCTGTTTGGTTCTGACTGTGTATAGACTGTTTCTGGCATTCAGTTACATGATTATGCTCCTGCTTCCTTCTTCCTTTCTGCACGTAACTATCTTACTCTTGGCATGGACAGATGCATCCACCATGCCAGCATTTATCAGATATAATGTTACCACAAAGATAAGTAAGACCCAGTTTCTATCCTTATTAAGCTCTCCATCTTCATAGGAAACAGTTAGTAAAACAATTTACCAAATCCAGTATGATAAGTACATACTGGTCTTAGTGCTGTGTTGAAATATGCTGATAGATATTTTATCTGAAAATTGAAGAAGGCTTCCTTTGAGAGATGATGCTTCAGAAGCTGGGTTTTGAAGGATGAATACGAGTTTACATAGGAAGAACTGAATAAACTTAGTAGTTAATATTTCTCTTTTTATTTCTTCTCTTCCTTTTGTTCTTCTCCACTTCCTCCTACCCACCCCCATTCTTCTTCCCTTCCACCGCCGCCTCCTTCATATTCATACTTTATTGCTAACAAGAATATCTACCTGGAAATGTGCCCAGTAGGGAAAAGAAGACAGTGGATTTAATTAGGAAAATTACAGTTGTCTTCTCTAAACAGTCTGTTAGTTGTTTTTTTTTTTAATTGAAGTATAGTTGATTTACAATATTGTGTTTCCTCTGTACAACAAAGTGAATCAGTTATACATACATACATATTCTTTTTCATATTCTTTTCCATTATTGTTTATTACAGGGTTTTGTATATAGCTCCCCATGCCATACAGTAAGACCTTGTTTATTTTATATATCGTAGTTTGAATCTTCCAATCCCAAACTCCTAATTTACTCTCCATATCCCTTTTCATAACCTAAGTTTGTTTTCTAAGTCTCTTGAGTCTCTTTGTGTTTCATAAATAAGTTGGTTTGTGTCATATTTTAGATTCTACATACAGTAGATATCATATGATATTTGCCTGTGACTTAGTATGATAATATCCAGGTCCATCCATCTTGCTGCAAATGGCATTCTTTCTTTCCTTCCATGGCTGAGTAATGTTCCCAAGTGTATGCACCACAGCTTTATCCTGTCAATGGGCTCTTAGGTCTCGGCGATTGTAAATAGTTCAGCAGCATGTTAGTTTTTTACCCTCACGGCAAGTCATTCTGTTTTCAACTCTGTTCCCAGTTCACTCTGGATGCATACATTTATAACTCACTCTCCACCTGCTTCCCCTTCTCAGTGCGACTGTGAAAGGAGTCTGGATGTCCCGGGTACGTGGTGGGGCTCGCGTTGTTTTCCTCCACCTTAACTCCTCGCATCTCTCCGTGCCCACAGATGGGAAGCCGGTGTCTCTGTCCCCGCTGGAGGCCCAGCCGCACAGCCCCCGGTACACTGCGTCCAGCCAGCGGGAGCGCGAGAGCCTGGAGGTGCGCGTGCGCGAGGTGGAGGAGGAGAACCGTGCCCTCCGCCGGCAGCTCAGCTTGGCCCAGGGCCGCAGCCCGTCCCACCGGCGTGGCAACCACTCTAAGACCTACTCCATGGAGGAAGGCACCGGCGACAGTGAGAATCTTCGCGCCGGCATCGTGGCGGGCAACAGCTCTGAGTGCGGGCAGCAGCCGGTGGTGGAGAAGTGCGAGGTAAGGAGCCTTGGGAACCTTCCAAGGACCCAGCCCCCCATTGCCCAGCCTGGCCCCTGGCCAGCGCCTCCTGGAAGCATGACCAGGGGCCTGGAAAGAGCTGGCATGCTTGACTCAGGCCTGGGCGTGAATCTGGCCTGATTACTCATTTTGCCTGGCAGATTGCTTAAGCCTCAGCCTCAATTGTCCTCATCTGAAAAATGTGGATAAGAAAGCCTGCACCACAGAGCTATTAAGAGCAGCCAGTTGATGGAAACTGCTGCTTGTTTCTTTGCGGCTCCTTTGGCATGCTCAGAATTTCTAGCTGTCATCCTGGGGGCCCTGTTTCTTAGCCTCCAGTGGGAGTGGTGTCCCTGGCCTGCGGCCCAGGTGGGCAGTTCCCTGGACCTCATTCTCACTATACACCCAGCTTCTGTAATTCAGAACCAGAGACTTGCTCATCTAAAGCAGTTTTTTGAACTTTGATGGCTTTCCATCATTTTCCCCCTTTTAGGGCATGCTGGCTTTCTTAGCAACTCTTCAGTCGTTTGAAAAACACCCACTGCCCCTCCTTGCTGCCCCTCAGCCCCCTCCTTCATACATCTGTGCTTATGTGTGCGCTGAATGTGCATGAGGACACACACTCACACACACACACACACACACACACACACACACACACACACACATTTTCTGCTTCCAGTCCTAGTGGAGGGAAATTAGAGCATCTCTGTTGAGAGTTAGTCACTCAGTCGTGGCTGACTTTTTGAGACCCCATGGACTGTAGCCCTCCAGACTTCTCTGTCCATGGGATTCTCCAGGCAAGAATACTGGAGTGGGTTGCTATGCCCTTCTCCAGGAGATCTTACCGACCCAGAGATCGAACCTGGGTCTCCTGCATTGCAGGCAGCTTCTTTACCATCTGAGCCACCAGATAAACCCCTCCTTGTTAAGAGCAAGACCTTTTGTGATAAAGAAGCCTGAGTTCGTTTCCCAGCTCTGTTGGCTTTTGCTGTGAGTGCTTGAACAAGTCACCTAGCCTCTCTGAACTTCAGATGTGCCTCCTCAATAAATTTTAGAAAATAACACCTGCTTCATGCAGTATTGTGAAAAGGAAGTGCGATGGCCAGAGAAAGCCACAAATACTGTCTAGTACAGACTGTGTTTTCAATTGTGGGTTATTTTTGTTATTTTTAGTTAGCTACAGACAGGTATTACCTGATGTTTGTTTATTCCATTTCCTGACCACATTCTCATAATGTTTAGACTTTCAACTCCCTGAAGAGAAAAGAGTTTGTGAACTATAAGATGCTATTCATGTGAAGAGGGTTTTTATTGATGTCAGTGAGACTGTGTAGTATGTCATAAGCAGATACAGGGCTTAGTTATGAAGTGGTGTAGACTCAGGTCTATGCAAGGTCAGGGAGGGGATTCTAGACTATAATGGTCAGGGAGAGGACTGGAAGATTTCTTGTGGATTCTCCAGGCTGGTTGAAGTGTGGGCTGGTGGAGAGGTGGAGAAAGGTAGATGGAGGATGTCCTGTGAGGATTGTGTGTGTGAGTAGGAAAAATGTGAAGCGAGACTCTGTCAAGCAAGAGAGGATTTAGGGCATGGTGAGATGGTTGATCAGGTGAGCCCAGAGAACCTGGGCAGGGAAGTGGCTGCAGTATCGTCATCATTCATCCAACAAGTATTTGTTGAGTCTCTGTTGCAGATCTCACACGGTTTTCTGTGCTAGGAAATAGCAGTGATGGGAAAAGAGACAAAATTCCCTTTCTTCTGGCTCTTACCTTCTGAGGTGGGAAGTCAGGAAGAGATGATGGACAAAAAGAGAAATTCCATTTGTTCCCAAACTCAGGTTTGTCTGCTCACCATTCAAAAGTCAATAATTTGAGAGGCAAGTATTAATAGAAAGGAAAGATGCTTTAATCCTAAATCTGGCAATCTGGGGAGAAGGTGGACTTGGGACCTGAGCCCAACTCTGAAGATTGTGCTCTGCCGTGCTAGTTTTTTTTTCCTTAATAAATTTCATTTTTGTTTCACTTTGTAAAAAAATTTGTTCATTTATGTATGTATTTTTGGCTGTGCTGGGTCTTCACTGCTGTGTGCAGGTTTTTTCTAGATGCGGCCAGCGGGGACTACTTCTCCAGCTTGAACGGGCTTCTCACTGTGGTGGAGCGTGGGCTCTTAAGTGAGGGGGTCAGTAGTAGTGGCACATAGGCTTAGTTGCCCTACAGCATGTGGAATCTTCCTGGACCAGGAATTGAGCCCATGTCCCCTGTATTGGCAACTGGATTCTTCATCAGTTGACCACCAGGGAAGGTCCTGCAGGTTTTAAAGGGGAAAGGGGAGAAGGAGAGAATCTCATTGAGTCATAGAGGCAGGAAGTTGGATTCTGCATCCTTCTCCATCATGTGACTGACTCCTCCGAGTGTTATCTTGCCTGCAGGGTCCACCTGCCAGATTGCTTGGGGGTGCTGTTGGGGAGTAGAGAGCCAGCTAGTCATTTTGTTAACTGCATAATTCTTCATTCTTCCTTCTATCTAGGAAAAGAATCAGTGGGTTAGGCAAGGCATGGTATGCATTCAGGACTGCATAAGACCAGAATTATGTTAAATTGCCTAGTGATCTGCTTCCTGTAATTAGGTACTGACTGTATGCCAGGCCCAGTCTCATTTAATTGTCCACCACCATTGCCAGTGGCCTCTGTTACGGAATATCTCTGTTTTACATCTTTGAAAATGAGCACTTAGCAACTTTAACAGTTAAATTCTCATGATCTGGGCTGATCTGGGGTGGGCCCTAACTTGGGGATCGTCTTTTCCTGCCTGAGTGAAGGCTGGTTTGATTTCTTTCAGATTCTCTGCTCTTGGCTTATGGTCCTGACATCAGTTTAGAATGTGGGCTGGCCCGGGGGAAGAAATGCTTTTCCTCGAATGTGTTTACATTATTATGACTCAGACCTACTTAAACCACTGGGTAAGATTAAGGAGGTGAAAAATAGAAAAGGAAAAAATGGGAGGGTGCAAATGTAACAGAAGGTGAAAACAGAGGATTCCTCTTCCTGCTGTTGCCTGTGTGGTCATTGGCTTCCTTCTGCTCAGCTTTCTGAGATACACGTATCCTATTTCTAAAGAGGGCTTCTGCCCCAAGTGCCCCACAAAATAGTATGGGTGAAAGACCACTGGCTTTTTAGTCCTGCAAATAGGTTCATCTGTATCATTTTTCTAGATTTCACATACATGTGTTGATATGTAGTATTTGTTTTTCTCTTTCTGACTTCACTCTGTATGACAGACTCTGGGTTCATCCACATCTCTGCAGATGACCCAATTTCATTCCTTTATATGTCTGAATAATATTTCACTAACGTATGTATGTACCACATCTTCTTTATCTGTTCGTCTGTCAGTGGACACTGAGGTAGCTTTCATATCCTGACTGTTATAAATAATGCTGTGATGAACACTGGGGTGCATATGTTTTTGATGGATGAGAGGGAGATCCAGGAGGGAGGGGTTATATGTATACATGTAACTGGTTCACTTTGTCATATAGCAGAAACAAACACAACACTGTAAAACATTATAGCCCAATTTTTTTAAAAAGGCTTTCAAAGTGGGAGACAGGAGCCCAAATCTGGCTCCCTTCCTACCTTGATGGTGGTGAGGCTCTGAGCATTTTACATCACTCTTCTCTGTGTTGGTTTCTTTGTTTGTATGTTATGGATTAAAATCAAGTTCTTGCCTCAAACTGTTTCAGTGGTAACAATGTATACTAGAACTTTCGGCAAACAGTAGCATCATTAGTTGTGTTAGTAGTTGATTTCACTGTGGTTTATCAAATGATTCCAAGTAACAGCTGCTTTGCACCTTATTTCTGTTTACATTTAAGAAGTGTGGAGGCTGTTGGTGTAGGGATGTTCATATCTGGAATGCAGTCTTCCTTTATCTTTTCACCGAGCTGGCTTGACTGGCATTCTCAAGGTCATTGCATGGTCTTTAATGACTGTCAGAGCTTCAACTATGTCAGTCACATTCCAGCTAGCAGGAAGGGCGAGTATATCAGCTTGCTTTAAGAATATGTCTTAGAAATTTCACAGTCAGTCCCTTTTAGATCACACTGGCAGAATTTCATTTAGCTGGTACCTTTAGCTGCCACCTAGCTGCAAGGGAGCCTAGAAAACAGTTTTTTGTTTTTTGTTTTTTTTTTTTCAAGGAAACCATATTCTCTGTTAACATTTTGGAGTTCCACTACTAGAAAGTGAAAGTGTTAGTCACTCGGTTCTGTCCAACTCTATGTGACCCCATGGACCATAGTCTGCCAGTCTCCTCTGTCCATGGAATTCTCCAGACAAGAATACTGGAGTGGGTAGCCATTTTCTTCTCTAGGGGCTCTTTCAGACCCAGGGAACAAACGCAGGTCGCCTGCATTGCAGGCAGATTCTTTACCATCTGAGTCATCAGGGAAGCCCTTGGCTACTAGAGAACCGATATTATGGTTACAGTGAACATTCTCTGTCAAGTTAGTAGTTACCAAACTGGTTTGTACATTAGAATTACATAGCCAAACATGCATAGTCATGGAACCCATCCATCCTACTGATTGAGAATCTCTGAGAATGGGGCCCAAAATTTAAGTATTAAAACTTTGTATCCAAGTGATTCTGAGATAGTAGAAACTGTTTGGAAACTACTGCTTCCCTGGTGGCCCAGACGGTAAAAGCGTCTGCCTACAATGCAGGAGACCTGGGTTCAGTCCCTGGCTCGGGAAGATCCTCTGGAGAAGGAAATGGCAACCCACTCCAGTACTCTTGCCTGGAAAATCCCATGGACGGAGGAGCCTGGTAGACTGCAGTCCATGGGATCACAAAGAGTTGGACACAACTGAGCGACTTCACTTTCACTTTCACTCTCTTTGAGAGATAAAGATCTTCAGCTTGTTGCTACCGTAACTTATTTTTTAGTCTTTTGCACCTGAGAATTAGGTTTTCTGCATTTATTTATTGAGCACACCCCAT